GGAGATAGTCGAGGGCCAGGGAGCGGAGCATCGGCGATGTCTTGCCCATCGGCGTGACCAGGACGATTTTGGGCGTCGAGCCCTTGGCGAGGAAAGCTGGGAGCGACGATGCATCGAGCTTGCGCACGGCCTCGGATGGGAGGGCGTCGAGCACATAGTTCATCATCGCCCTGCCCTTGCGCTCGCCGAGATAGTCGCGAGGCACACGGCGCTTGGTCGCAGGGAACAGCTTGATCGTGGGAAAGCCCTTGATTTCGTACTTGGCACACAGGGCCTGGGATGCGCTGTCTTCGCAGTCGACGTACGCGATCTTCACGACGCCATCCAGCTCGGCCGCGACGCGCTCGAAGCTCGGTGCGAGGTTGCGGCAGTGTCCGCACCACGGTGCCGTGAACGCCACCAGCGCCGGCTTGTGGACCTCGAGCACTTCTTTGTCAAAGTTGCTAGGCGTCAGATGCAGCACGGGCGAGTTTCGCGCAAAGAGCGCGGCCTCGGCTACAGCGACGAGCGCGCTCAGCCCACACGCCCAAGGCACCAGTCTCATGCGTGGTGATGGGAGCGACGTGCGGAGGCCGCGTCATTCGTGGTCACATGACCTTCTTACGCCCCCCACCTTGCCTCTTGCTGGCATGCGGCTGTTGCTGCTGCTGCTGCGCCGTGGGGGTGTGTCTCGGCGCGCCTATACGACGCTGACGCCAGCCGACATGCTGCGAATCCAGGCGACGCGGGGCGCGAATCTCGAGTTGGATCCCCGCGGGGTGGACTATGACCTGTTTGAGACGCCGTCTCTCGAATACACGCACCAGCAGCGCGAGGCGCCTGCTGTGTCCGATATACCCGCGCCGGTTCTCACGATGCAGCGCGTGCTGCGTGCTGGCGACTTTGCGGCTGCGTCGCGCCTCTTTGAGCAGCTCGAGGAGCTTGGCACATACCTTGATCAGCCACTGGCGGAGTACGCGCATGCGTCGCGGTGGTGCGCTGCGTCGGGTGAGCCGCGCCGCGCCGTGCGGTTCCTGCGGCATATTCCGAGATCATCGCACAGCATGGACACGTCGTACCAGGTATCGCAGACGCTCTTGTGGCTCGTCCGATCGGGTGACGGGGCCGCGATGCAGCAGGGCATGCTGCTGGCGGCCGAGTACGGCTACGTCCGCGAGCTGCGCAAGGCGCTGGTGGCCATGTATCAGGGGCCGTTTGGCGGGACGCAAGAGGCGCCGCGGCTGTGGTGTGCGCTTGCGGCGCTTCTTGCGGCGCCCACGACGGATCTCGCGCGCTTGTATGGCTGCCTCGTTCGGGCGCAGCTTCGTGGCCACCACGCGCCTATGCATGATACCCTATCGTTCCCTGTGGATGCGTACACGCAGGCCGTGCTGCGGGGCGAGCCATGCCGGCCTGAGCGCATGTCGCAGCACGACTCGGACCGCTTCATGCGGCATGTGCGCCGCGACGATGTGGCGCGTATGCGGAGTGTGCTGCTCGGCGTCCTAAAGCGTGGCTCGATGCCGTCGATCGAGCATGTCGCGACGCTCCTGTGCAGGGCGTCGAGGCAGGCGTGGGTGGACATGCCGCCGAGTGAGCGTCGCGATGCGTATCGCGTATCGACGGGGTCGTTTCTTCGTCCACTTCGAAAGCGATGCCTGTCGTTTCCGGGGCTGTGGGAAACGGCGACGCTGCGTGCGCGAGAAAAAGAGGGCGACTGGCACAGCGCACTTCGACTGTGGCAGCAGCGCTTTGAGCCTGTGCGTGGCGTCTACGAGCCGGCCGTGCATGAGCTGGTGAGCCGCGCACGGCCCCCGACGCTGCCGTATGTGGCGTCGGTGACGGCGAATAGCGAGCGGCGTCCGGAGCGTACGCGGCATGAGCGTGCGCGGATCATGCCGACGCCGTACGCAGTCGCGACGGTGCTTCGGGCGATGGTGCGTGCGTACGGCCCGGACGGCAAGGCGCTGGCGCCCATGTATGCGGCGCTCGTGGACGCCGCCCAGCCCGGTGGGCCGACTGCGAGTGCGGCGTGCTTTGAGGCGTTCATTGCGATGTCGAGTCGCGTGGATGCGAAGCGCTTCGTGAGTCCGCGCGTCTCGCGCACGACTGCGCAGCAGCTGCCCACGATGTGGACGATGCTGCGGGACATGCAGGCCGCGTGTATCGTGCCGCGCTCGTCGACGTGGACGCTGTTTCTGCAGGCGCTGCTGCGTGATCGGTCGCGGTCCAAGTGGCGCATCGTGCTGCATGTGCTGAACGAGATGCACCGCGGCGACCACGAGCGCCGTGCGCTGCTGCCGCGTGCGACGCCGGCGACGTATGCAGGTCTCCTGCATGTGCTCACGCGCGTGCGGCAAACGTCTCGTACGCGGCGACGGCGGTGCACGATTCGGACGCTGATGCGACGGCGGTATGGGGATGGAGTGTATGCTACAGAGAGGGCTAGTCGACGCGCTTGATGGGGTGCAGCATGGACGGCGCGCGGCACACGTCGGCGTGCCGCTTCCAGCCCATGTACAGTTCCTTGGCGTGCTGCGCGTGATAGTAGAACGACGAGTCCTTGTGGAGGTTTTCGTGCCGCTTTTCGTAAAAGTCGGGGCGGTTGAGGAGTTGGTGGAGCTCGAGCCGGTCCCAGTCGTGGCGGAAGTAGATGGGGTGAGGGGCAAACACGCCCTTGAAGGGCAGCGGGAGCGTGTAGGTGAAGCCGGCCTCGGGGTAGAAGGAGTGGTTGTGGGACGGCGGGAGCTGCGAGTGCAGTACGAGCGTGGTGGGCCAAGCCTCGCAGTGGAGCGACTTTTTCGCCTCGGCGTTGACGACGTTCATCGCCTCGAGCAGGCCGCGGCTCATGCGCATGTTTGTGCCGATCGAGGCGCGGCGGTGCGTGTCCCAGCCGAGCGGGTAGTTTTGCACGTCGTGCGTCCACCACCAGCCGCTGCCGCGTGGATCGAAAATGGGGCCGAGCGTGATCAGATCGGCCTCCTCGCCGACCTTGGTCGTGTCGCGCGGGTCGTCGGTCATCCAGATCTTTTCCGACGCGGGCACGCCGGGCATGTACCACGTGTCGTACTTGAGCATGCCGGGCGCGAGTGGTTCGCGGCGCGCGTACTCCTCGATGCCCTCGAAAAAGTCGAGGTAGTTGCCGATGTAGCGCACGTCCATTTCCCAGTTGTAGACATAGTCGTACTCTTGGTGGTCGAGCCAGAACTTTTGCAGCGCCATGAGACAAGCGCGGTACGAGGTCTGCGCAATCATGTTGTTGATAAACTTGCCGGGCAGACCCGCGTACAGCACCTCGAGCTGCTTCTCCGACCAGAGCTCGACGAGGCCCCAAAACTCGCGCGGCACGCTCGATGCCAGCACGCGGTAGCGGTCCCACTCGGACGTGAACACGCTCAGATTCGGGTCCTTGACCTCGACGAGGATGCGCACGTCGTACGGCGTCTGGGGATTGTTCAGCGACAGCTCGCTGATCATGGCGCGCAGATTCAGTATGTCGTCTTCGCGCCACGGATAGCCCTCGTACGCCCGCATCACAATCGCCGTGCGCTTCATGGCCGGGTTCGTCAGGTACTCTTGCGGCGACGTCGTCCGGTTCGCCGCGCCGCGCTGCGCATAGCAGGCGTCCATGAGCGCGCGCCAGTCGGGCGCGAAGGCCTCGTCGGGGCGCCGCGCATTCGCATGCATCAGGCGCGATCGTAGCAGCTCTTCGTACTCTTTCATCGGCATGTGCTCAGGGTACGGCAGGCCGTGCAGGGGGTCGTAGCCCAGGCGCTCGCGTGCCTCGCGCGCATCGGGCCGCAGCTGCTCGCGCATGGCCCGAGGATCGTCGGGGTCCTCGTCGAACGAGGCCTTCGTGCGCGGCAGTAGTTCGTCGGGCAGGCGGTACGTGATGCCCAGCGCCTCGTCGGTGTACATGCTGTACCGCTCGGCGTACGTGATGCACTGGCTGCCATCGAGACCGACGAGCTCAAACTTGCCGACAATCGGCTGTGGATGCGTCGGTGGCGTCGGGTGCGCCTGGAGCGGCGAGAGAGGCACCAGCTTGCCATGCGGGCCAGGACACCGATCAAACTGCGGCGGGAAGGTGCGGTGCCGAGGCGCCTCCGACACGATCGCACCGTGTGCGTCGCGTGGGACGCGCGCATTCGGATCCACGCGGTAGTACGCCATCTCGCGCCACTCGGGGCGCTGCATGTGGAAGAGTATCAGGGCGCATACGGTGCCGAACGTGACGACGGCGACGATCGTCTTCCATCGGAACGTGATCCAGCGCACGACCAACAGGCATGCAAAGGTAGCCCATGCCGTCACATGCCCCGGTCCTCCGCCGCCGCCGCTGCCCTTGGGCGAGCGCGAGAGCGGCTGCGATACGGGCGCGGGCAAGGGGCCGTCATGCCGAGCGACCTCGTCGTCGTGGTCGTCTGTCGATACAGGCGTGTACGGCTTGAAGTGGAAGCGCTGTGACACGTGTGCACCGCTCTCCTCCAGCGGCGACGAGGGCCGAGCTTCCATCGAGGGCCGCATCCAACGCGGCTCCGTCGCTCGATCGACGTCCTGGATCGCTGGGCACGCGGACGTCGTATCTCGGCCGAAAAGCCACGCGACACGCGCTCGACAGGCCGGCCTGGCTCCGCGGCCCTCGGTGGCGAAGAACGAGGGAGCGTCGTGAGGGCGCGGCAGGATGGCAGCCGCTGGATCGTGGGTGCGCCTCCTTCCATGCTGGGGCCGCGCATCGTGAGAGGGCAGGTTGGCGCATTGGCAGCCCGTGAGCTAGGGTGAGGCGAGAGGGGCGCTCACGAGGCGCTCATGGGCGCGTGTGCCTGGTACGCATGATGCGTGAGGACGTGGCCGCGAGGGGTGTGACGCTGCTGCCCTCTCAGCTGCGCTGCTCCGCAGGGACGAGAGGGGTGCTGGCGCTGCCTATGCGTGCACGGAGCGTACGTAAGCGCGCCGCGTGACGAGGCAGTCGTCCTGCGGCCCAGTGATGAGAGCAAAATTGCAGCGGGTTTGGATGATCTTCTCCCGTCGTCTAGTTGGTTTATGACACGGTGCTTATAGAGGTCCAAAGGCACATTGCCCCTATGCACGGCCCGCTTTGCTGCGGAGAGACACGCCGTTGTCCGGGGTTCGAATCCCCGCGGGAGAATTTTTTTGGACCGCCTTGGCCTTGGCGCGCGGCCGCGTGAGGTGGGCTTGGGGCTGTGACGACCATGAGGGCTACGGCTCACGCGGAGCCTGGCGCCGCTACGAGAGGCAGCCCGCGCGTGGTGTGGGCGCCAGAGCACGGCGGTGCAGAGCGCGCTGGGCTCGTGGGCTTCTCGACGATCGGTGGGAGGCACCGCCGCGGAAGAGACGCTTGGGCGCCAGCAGAGTCGCGATCGTGTCTACGAGGCCGCTCAGGGCCATGCTATCCTGTCCCGCGCGGAACGAAGTGCATGCACCATCGTAGTGCACCACTCAGATGGCGCGGAGTTTCTGTGCCTCTCGTGGCCGCACGCCGACGACGTGACGACCACATGAGGGTCGGGTGCACACCAGTGCCAGAGCTACGGAACGATCGCGTCTGCATGGATCGGGAAGGGCGCACTGCGCAGCGGCTGGCCCTGGTCGAAGGCCTGGGCCGCCGACAGGGACCGGCCGAGCGCGTCCTCCTTCTTGACCTGGTATATACGCACGAGCCAATTTTCACTGGTAAACACTTCGTCGAGCGTAGCGAGCTGGGGCGACGTTGAGGGGCCTCGGCTGTTGCGGGCGCGGTCCATGCCGGCCTGACCGCCAAAGAGCTCGTTGTAGCGGTGGTAGGTCATCTTGTACATGAGGCTCTCGCGCATCGTCGGCGAGGCCTCATCGTCTACGCGGTACTCGCCTGACGGCGTGAAGAACTTGTGCTCTTTGATCTCGTCGGGCCACAGGCCCTGCGAGATGCGGATCATCCACAAAAACTTGTTGAGGTCGTCGCCGCTGTAGCCGAGTAGGCCGCCAAAGATGATGAGCACGTAGTCGACGTCGTGTTGGCGGAGGATCGGGTAGGCCCGCTCCTCGGGCGACGCCATCGCCTTGCCGACCGTCGCGATGTGGGTATTGTTCCACGTGTTGTTGTCGACGAGCGTCGTGCGGTCCGCGAAGCCCGCGATCTGGTAGCCATAGTCCCACCAGCTCATCACCTTGGCGTCCTGCGGCGTGTTTTCGCGGAGCCAGTAGTACGCCTCGCGGAAGTCGTCGATGATCACGGACGAGCCGTCGCTCTGCTGCGAAGCGAGCACGACCGAGGGCGACGAGTACGCCATCGACGTGATCATCGTGCAGTGCAGCACAAACAGCTCGAGCACGAGCATGAGGCAGCCGATCACCAGGCAGCGCGACTCGATCGGCATGCGCTTCGTGCGCGGAGCGCGCTCCGCGCGCTTCGGCGCCGCGGGGCTCGGGCCCGCGTACGTGTCGATGAGCGTGCTGGCCGCGACGGCGGCGCACACACACACGCACGGCGTCAGCGTGAGGATCAGACGCACCATCACGCCCGAGAAGTACGAGGCCATCACGGCGTAGATGACGACAAACACATGCTCGTCCCGCAGCTCCTGGAACAGGAAGAACAGGCCGGCGGGGAACAGGAGCGCGAGGCAGTGCAGGTCGAGGAAGTACGTGCTCCATGCCGGCGGCTGGTGCTCGGACACGGACGCAATGATCGGGATGTGCTTCTTGGCGTACGACGTGTCCCACAGCGAGTAGAAGCGGCCAGTCCACGGCGCGATGTAGCCGGCGTACGTGAGCGCGACGAGCGCCGCGAACGCTGCGAGCGCCAGGACCGCGACGCTCGCGCGCACCAGCACCTTGAACTGCGCGGACGACACGTACCGCCGCACGGTTTCCGTGAGCGCAATCAGCTGCAGCAGGCCAAACACGCCGAGCGCGGCCATGTGCTCCGACGTGCGTACGGGCTGGAACCCGACAAAGGGGATCTGCATGCTAGCGAGCGTTCCGATCGCGTAGAACGACGAGTACGCCACGTACAGCCGCTCGCTAAAGCGGCCCATGAGGACGAGCACCAAGGCGTGCAGCGGGATCATGTTGGTGATAAACACGTAGCCACCCCACGCGGCAACCATGTAAAAGTACGAGAGCGCTGTGAGCATGCCAAAGAGCATGCTGCCGTCGCGCACAGAGCGCACCCACAGATAGAACGTGAACAGCAGCAGAAAGATGGCGATGGCCTCGTTATCGTACGAGCCTGCGACCGAGCGCGAGATGTAGCCAGGCGCGATGCCGATGAACAGCGCGGCCAGAAGCCCTGCCGCATCGTCCTTCATCATCGACGTGAACAGGTAGGCGGCCAGCACAGTCAGCACACTAAACATGGGCGCAAGCATCACGCAAATGTCGCGGATGTTCACAGGCACATGGAAAAAGTGCAGGATATTGTACAGCGTGCCGCTCGTGACCATGAGGCCGGGGAACACGGTGCCACCAGCCGCGCGGCCGAGCGGGTACCAAGCCGTCGGATCGAACCAGTTCCAGAACCGGTAGTACCCGTCCTGCGTCAGGACCTTGGTCGCGCGGAAGTTGAACCACGGATCGAATTCATGGATGATCGATTCGTACCGCACGACAGAAAACAAGCGAGACGATACAGCGGCGACAGCGATCAGAAACAAAATCACCATGCGCAGCAGCGACGCCACATTCTGCCGCGTCTCGAGCGTCGCCATCGTCGGGGCCCAAGGCGGCTCACCGCGCGGCGTCGCCCTGAGCCGCCTATTCACGTGATCAAACGCCACGTGGACATCAGCTTCGCGCTCCGGCGCCGCGGCGGCGCTTCGTCATGCCCCCTGCTCATGTGGCGGCCGAGGCGCAGGCGTGCGCCGAGGCCGACGTCGATGTCGCGTACATCACTGTTGCGCTCGAGGACGCGCTGCGTGATGCTAGGACAGGCGCGTCGCCCCTAGCGATATCGATCGTCGCGCGTCGCGAGGCGTGCACGTCGCGCACGGCGCTGTGTGCCGCCGGCCGCATCGTGTGGGCGCGGCCGCTGCGCCCCGAGATGACCGAGGAGGCCGAGGTGCACGCGCGCATGGCTGTGTACGTGCACCCTGCCTTGGCGCGCTCGACGGACGTCGCCGTCCGCGCCGTCGAGCCCGTGCGCCTCGCTGCCGTGTACGTGGCGGTGGCGGCCGGCGACTACGAGCGCCTCGCTGCCGACCAGGCAGGCGTGCAAGACGCGCTGGATGGGCGCATCGTGTGTACGCATGCCTGCGTGCCCTTACTAGGCGCGAAGGCGCGTGTGCTTATGAGCGAGCCCGTCGCGCAGGGCGTCGTCGATGCGTCTGCGACGCGCGTCTATGTGATCCAAGAGCGCACTGTCGCGGCCGCCGAGGAGGACGTCGCTGTGGCGCCACCTACGATTGACGAGCGCTTTCTGGCGTGCGATACGAGTGCGTCGCCTGCTTTTCGCGCGCGCCTCATGCCGCACGCCCAGCTTGTGCACGATGCGATCGAGGCGTGGAAGCGGCGCGGCAACGATGCGTATGTCGATATCGAGAGTGTGGTGCTTGTGCGTGAGCGAGCGCTCGCGAATCTGGCTCTCTTTGACGGCGACTGGGCCGTCGCGACCGTGTGGCCTGATCGCAAGCCGCGCGTCGTCCGTGTGTGCATGACGAGCGACGCCCTAGCGCTCGACGAGGCGTATGTGCCGCCGATGCTCCTCCAGAACCTGTGTGACGGCGCGACGTTCGATCCGCTGCGGGCCGTCGCGCTGCATCTGGACCCGCTGCCGCCGCATGTGGCCGAGGAGGCCATCGAGCTCGCTGAGCCGCCGTCCAAGCCGCCGCTGATGCCGTGTGCCGAGCACATGTGCATCGCGACGATTGCGTCGCCCGTGACGACGGACCGCGCCTATGATGCACAGTGCGCAGATGCGCTGCGAGCGCACCTCGCTGACCACCCACGCATCCTGCGCCAGGGCGACGTGATCGCCGTCGCCCTCACCGCCGGCCGTGCGCGATTCCAGCACATCGACACGGCACGCGAGCAGATGCCCGCTGCGTCGCATGACCTGCGTCTGCCGGGCCATCCGCCGACGTACCTGCGCGACGCGGTCTACTTTTGCGTGAGCGAGCTCACGCCCGAGCTCGTCGACCCCGAGACGCTGCAGCGCCGCATCCCGACGACCATGCCGGCCCTGCGGCAGTGGTGCCTGACCCTGCTAGCCTCGGGCTCGATGGCCGGCGCAGGCTGCTGGGTCGATGCGCACACCACGCGCATCCTGCAGAGCGGCACGGTCCAGCGCCGCGTCCTGACGGACGTGCACGGCTGGCTCGGCTTGGCGTCCGACACGCCGCCCTGTCCGCCCGACCACACGCCCTTGACGCAGCCGGGCTCCGCGTGGTCGCGGCTCGCCTCGCTGCTGCACGCGGCCCTATCGCCTCGTGCGCAGTCGCTCGGCGTCCACCTGCACCTGCTGCTCCAGGGCGCCCGCGGCGTAGGGAAGCGCATGCTTGTTCGCTGGGCCGCTCAGCGCGTGGGTGTGCATGTGCTGGAGCTGCCGAGCACGATGCTGGTGGGCGATACGGATGCCCATACGGAGGGCGCGCTGCGTGCGCGGTGTGAGCGCGTGCGCTCGTGCATGCCGTGCATTCTCCTGCTGCGGGATGTCGATCTGCTCGTGCGTCGCGGCGCGGGCGAAGCGGCGCAGCAGGCCGTGGTCAAGATGCTGCATCGGTGCCTGAGTGACGACGGCGGTGTGCCGCTGGTGATCGGCACCGTGGACGATGCTGAGGCGTGTCCTTCCGCGCTGCGTGCGCTGTTTCCCGAGACGATCGAGCTGCGTCCGCCGTCGGAGCCGGCGCGGGCGCAGCTGCTGCGTATGGCGCTCGAGACGTGCGAGCCTGGCGCGGATGTCGATGTGCATGCGCTCGCTGTGCAGACGGCCGCGCTGCTGGCCGACGACCTGCGCGACGTGGTCGACCGTGCGCGCCTCGCGTCGATCAAGCGCCTCGGTGCCGCTGGCACGAGCGATCTTGTCGCAGCGCGCCCGGTGGTGTCGGCGGCTGATTTGGACGACGCGCTAGCGGCCGTGCGTGCGCGATACAGCGAGAGTATTGGCGCGCCGAAGATCCCGAATGTCACATGGGACGATGTGGGGGGCCTCGC